ATTTCAACTTGTATTTTTTCTCCGACTCTCTTACTCTCTTCTCGCGAGCAAAAAGTGGCGCGCGTGCCTATATATTTACAAATTTCTAGCTCTCGCGTAGCCCGAAAAACGATATTGCGAGCTCTATTTCCAATTGGTCGCGTGGCCGGATTGGTACACACACAAAATATTCGCGCGCGGGGCTCGTTGTCGTCGTCGTCGTCGTTGTCAGCATATTTGTCGAGCTCTCGAGCGAGAGAGAGAGAGAGAGAGAGAGAGAGAGTCAAGAGAGTCACTAGGAAACGTGTATTCATTAAATAGCAGTCGGCGGCCACTCGACTCTATACTACTAGCTGCGGTGTATAGCGCGGCGCATCTTGAGAAAGCAATAAACAGCTGCAGCGATCGACTCCTCCAAGCTCGACTCTTATCAATCTCTTCCGCGCGATTGACACTAAGGTACTCTATATATATAATATATAAGGAGCATCGCTGCTCATATATATAATAATAATGATAGGTACGGCAAGTGGCTGCTGCTGCTGCTCTGTACGAGGCTTATAACGCGAGAGAGGATAAGTGATATTTCGATCGCACACGAGAGAGAGAGAGAGAGAGATAGGAACGCGCGTAGTACGTGTATAATAGCCACCACACATACACCGCACACGATATATGCATTCATAAACGCGAGAATTAATTTAGCCCCGGCTCGTAAATCAGAGGCATGTTTTGCTCGGCACCTAAATCACTGTGCCGCTGCTGCTGCTACTGTTTCACCGTTGGTTGTACGCGTTATATAATTGCGGCAAAGCGGGGTGACGCGCCGTAACCTCCGCCACGCGCGTTACACCAGTACCCAAACTCGATCATCCCCTATACAACCAACCTACTCTCCCGTCCTCCCTTTCTCTCAGCGAAAGAATGAATATAGCCCCGGATAACGCTGATTTCGTGCAGTGCTGCGCGGCCAGTGTGTTACGTAGAGCTGATTCCGTGAGCGACGATGCGCGAGGGGCTCTCAAATGAGCTTCGTTCTCGCTCTCTCTCTATGACGCTGTTTATGTATTATACCCTTAACGAAATAATAGACACCGATCGCGTTCGCCTGATTATACTTAAATATACTTTTTATTATTTTAATGTACAGTTAATTTACTTTAATTTACACTTAATATACTCCTAATACATCCTTATCGAAAATTACACTATATCATACATTCATTGAGCATTCGTTGCATTTCGTGTACTGCGCAACGAGTGAGGAATATCATTATTATGAACATTCTTATCGAATTTAATTGAGTCGTCTTTGTCTAAATGCATGGAGATACCCTTTTGGCAGGCCTTGCTAGCTTCGATAATGTACTCGGCTTCGTGCAATGACTTTATTCTGTACTCCACGGGTATGCAATTCAACACGGACGCCTTCAGGCTGATCAGTCGGCCGATGCTCGTTGTCGAGTCCAAGGCGTCGAGTGGCAATTTACGATTCACCACTGCGTTGACTTTGCTCTCGATCTGTATAAATGACAATTAGAATTAGAATTTATAAATGATTAATGACTTATTGGGTTTTTATGAACCCACGTATAATGAATAAAAATTTTGAACAGATTTTTACAAAATGTTCAATATAATAAATGAAAAAGAAGAGATTAAGAGATTTCAGAGAAAAACGCATAAAAAATGATCGAATCACAAATAATAATGCAAAAGATTTTATTTCATATTTAAAATTTGATTCTATTAATTGGACAAGTCCCATCCTGAACGTATGTCTGTAATTTATAATATAATATAACTTGTGACAAAGGTAAAAAGAAATATTAACAATATGCAATTAACAGGAAGCTAGGTAAATGAAGATTAATGATGAAAAATCAAATGAAAGTCAGGTAAACTTCCGCTGATCAATGACCGGAAGTAAGACAAGAGCGAGCCTTTCATGGCATAGAAATGACTGCAAGTCCAAGAAAATGGTGTAATTAAATATATCATTGATCAAGTCCATAGCGACGATCATAAATGTCATCTCAATAGCGGTCGAACGGACTAGCAAACTTGGAATTGAATCAGTGATCGTTGAAGCAATCTAACTGACGAGCGCACAGTGCACCGATAGAAAATTCAAGTATATTACCAAGTATTCATTCGGATTTGCGGCAAGAATCAAATCATCCTCACCCCAACATTTAAGAGTGTTACTTTAAATACGCCACAACGAGACTTTGAGAACATCGGTATTGTTCGAGTGTACATTAGGAGGGATACAATGCAAACTACAAAAACAACGCACATGCTTCCGAACGTTACATAGACTCATTATGCCGTACTTAAAGTAAAAACGGGTCAGATTCGCGGCAAGAATCTGATAATTCTTACCGCAAACCTGAGTAAATTCTCGGTAATATATGATCAAATTATCTATCAATGCGAGAATGGCAGATGGCAAGATGAAAAGCGAATAAAGATACTCCGAATTCTCGAACTACAGAAAGTCAAATGCAATCGACACCGCGAAACAGTGTCGGATTATGAATTCTTCGTATTAATAACTTAATGGTTTTATAATGAGCCGGAGATAATAAGCAACGCGCGGGCTTACCGTCAGTACGCAGCGATTGACTCTTCTCATGGCGCCGTTGCCGATAAGAGGCAGAAGGAAGCAATCGTCTATCTCTCTCTGCAACTGATGCAACCTATCCGTGACCGCGTGCGACTTGGTGATTATTTCGTCCCTCAGAGTCAGACTCTCCGAAATTTTACCCTCCGTGCAGGACTTTAGTCTCTGAAGAATAACCTTGGTGGCGTTCTCCGCCTCCTTGAAGAAGTTCGGCCGGGTCTTGATGTGGCACTCGCCGGTCTTGTAGATGGCCCCGTCGAAGCTGTCGGTGCCGTTGAGAAAGTCGATAGCCTCGGCCAGCTATCGGCAATACAAAACAACGATCGTAACAAACGCACGTGGCCAATTAAAGAAAAACAAAAACAAAAACTCACCGTGAGCAGAATATCCTCGAGATTCTGAAACATGCGCTCGTTGATGCGCTCCGTCATGTGCTTCACGTGGGCCAGAGCGTGATGAGCGAACTTTTTTTCATAGCTGGCCCTATCCTGCAGGAATCTCAACGTACTGGTGATCGAGTCGTCGACTTTCGTCCTCGTGTCATTGATCCTGGCCAATGTGATTTTCTCAAAGACATCGCTGGGATTGTAACGAGCTGCGTCGACGAAGCAAGGGCACTTGAACGAGAAAATCTCAACGAGAATGTAGGTGAACAAAAAGACGCGAGTGAATTGCATTTTGATTTAGTTGAGTTTGCGCCTGGATAGAGTATATGAATTAAACAGTCGGCTCGATGGACTAGCTCAAACTGACGCTCGAGTCTATCTCTCTACTAACGATGCATTCGTAATACGTTATTAAATGACTCGACTCGAGTATCGAGTATCGTATTACACTTTCTGAAATCGAGACCATTACAAGCGGTAAAATTCAAAATTGTACCATCGATATACTTTTAATAGCGAGCGACGCACCCGCTTACGTACATGCTTGGCGCGCGCATTATAAAAGGGTCAGCTTTGCCGCGTGAAAACGCGCGAACGTGCCCCGGGCTGCACGATCCACGCGTCGTAACTGCAAAGTACGCCCACGCACAGACACACAGACACACACGCGTCAGCGAGCGAGAGTCGTATATGCGCGCCGGCGAAACAAGGCTAATTCGCATTTCCTTTTTGCTGTTTCTCGCCGCCGTAGAGCAGCTCCCTTTTGTAAAGTGCGCCGCGTGCTATATCGCCCCCTGGGATCCTATACCACTACTACGACTGACTCTGTGTGTGTGTGGCGAGAGAAAAATTTTGCATCGTACACCTCGATAGGAAGAGAGAGAAAGAGAAGCAAGGGTGCCCTTATATGCCGCACGCACGCACGTAGTCACACATATGTAAGCGCGGATTTTCCTCTTTTTGTATTTCTGAAACTATGCTTGAAATTACTACGACACAGTGGCGGAGGCGCGAGAACGTGCCTTTTTTACGACGCCGATTATTTTCCAAGTCAAATATAATCTCGTTTTTCCTTACCTCGTACAACATCTGACAAATCGCAGCCAAATACATAGTTTTAAGGAAAAATTCTATATGAGGGAAGGGAAGAAAGGCAAAGGCAAAAGAAGAGAGAGAGAGAGAGAGCAAATACACTGTTACTATATGTACAGGAGTGCGTCTATCCGCGCGCCAGCTTTTCATGCCTAATTCGTCACTTTTGCTCCGGAGCGTGTATGTAGAATGATACGCCGCACACGTAAGTCGCGTGACGCGAATTCGCGCGCGTTTATAACTCACTTTTTGGCAGCCTATAGCTCCCTATTATATTTATACGCGCGTGTGGATGTGTGGGCGATGCGGGCCACGGCTCGTTTCCCCGCATATCGACTTTCCATCTCAGTTCGGAGCTTGCAGCACGCGGGAGAGAAAGAAAAAGGAGTTGCGACGGATCTCGCACGCAACGAGGCTGAAAAAATGCCTTTATGCATAAGAAGAGAGAGAGAAGCCGCTTGTTCCTCTTTGTGCGGGGCAGCCACCGATCAGACTGTGTGATGGATATAATCGCATCGCGCGCGCCCGCGTGTCAATGTCGATCTTTATATCCCCACCGCCAAGCGATCGGCAGTGAAGCTATTGTAATATTCGCGTGGCTTTCAGCTATTTATTCGCTACACGTGTTAGACTGACCCTAGGCCGAAGTATGTATATGCTAGTGTGATACATAAATCCCAGAGTAAGTGTCGAGAACGTCGCGCGCAGCTCTATACCATCAATATGCCTGCAAGAATACATACATAACTAACTATACGTATATCAGCAGCGTTAAAAAAAAATTGAATATTTTTATAACTCACGAAGAGGCTTGACGTATTTATACGCTTTTACATGTGAAACTCGTGCGTCCACGACTTTTCCTCCTAAGCGAATGTTTATATGAGCTTACTTTTACCTGAGTCGTAATCATCGGTCAAAGCTCGTGTACATACTCTAACACAAGAATGAAGCTGATTGTTTTGCTCTTTTTGCTCGTCGCAATTTTCCTCGCCGATCGTAACACGGCGGCTTTTTCGGTACGATCCATTACTTTTTTCTTTTGATTTTAACTCGAAGCTTTTATAACTCGATACATACGCTATATTGAATGATTGCGCATCGTGTTCATTTGTACAGAGCAGTCGTGAGAAGCGAGAAGCCGTCGCCTATTCCGACCCGGATCCAAAACCAGTAGTAAGCCTCCATTTGTGAATACAATAACGTGTAAAACATATCGTAAGAGTATGGATCATTTTTTCCGGTGGTGATTTATGCAGGTTTCCATGCTGATGGAGGCCGTTTGCAAGCACCAGCTGAAGGATTTCACCTCGCCCGAAGATTACTGCCGCGAAAAGAGCCACAAGATAGTGCAACATTTGGCTCAAATGTGCTACAAAGTGTCGAAAAAATTCTGTCACGCCGCCAAAATGTGGAATAAACACATCTCTTGCCAGGTACAAAACAATCATTCTAATTTCTCGTCCACGATTAATTCGATATAAAAAAAAGGATTAATTGTTTGTCTTCAAGCGCTGGTTCGATAGAACGATATGTGCCACATTCGAGGACACAGCTGATGATACTGAAAATAAATCCGAATCGACTGAAAATGATGTGGAATCAAAAAAAAATGTCACCAGTGTTAATTTACAACCGTCAATAGTAGGCAAAAAAAATTTGAAATTTTTGTATAATAATAATGAATTTGAAATGAATGCTCGATGCCTAATATCTCGAATTTTGTACAGTTCGAAGGCTTACTAATCAAAAAGTGCCTGAAACCATTTAGGATCGTGATGGAGAAACAAAATCTAACGAACACCGAGTTCGATGTAGACAAATTCTGCGAACACGCGAAAAAAATGTTCAGAAGCTCGTGCCAGACCGCAGTGAAGGAGTATGTTTGCGCGGTATTCGTTGGAGTCGAATCCCTTTGCAAGGTACAATAGATATATAAAAAAATGATCTACTTTATCGAGAGCGTTTGTACATTACGTTATTAGTAATTGCACTTAATTTTGCAGCTAATTTTACCGAAGCTGATATGTTAATGAAGAAATTGGGAGACGAGAATCTGCAAATTGAAATACACACAGAAATAAAGAATAAAAGTAGTTGCTCTCTGAAACGGACATTCATAGACTGGGAATATATATAACGTTATCCTCTCTCTCTCTCTCTCTCTCTTGTGCGAACCAAAGAGATCGTATAATCCAAGTTTGGGGCTGACTTGGGGGCTAGCAGCAAGCAAGCAAGCAACGGCAGTCGATTTAAATAATTACATCGCGATGTAGCCTCGCGCGAGGCAATAAATCCGGCCAGTGTCCAGCAGTTCCTCCTCCGTCGCGCGTAGTTCTTCCTTCTTTTCTTGCCTTTGCGCCCACCAGGACCAAGCCAGTATAACTAGTTCTCGTCTGAAACATATACTTTTGTATGTGAGTATGTGTGTGTGTGTGCGTGTAGGGGCGCGCTCAATCGAGTGATATATGCCTTCTCTATAACAGTTGGCGAATCAAAACATCCGAGTCGAGCGTCGGCTATATATGTATAAGGGATGTTTTTCTCGTGTGCCCACTGCAGCAGTAGCAGCATGCCACGGTCAGTCAATATCTATCTCTCTCCGGCTGTTGGACTTCACTCTTCTTTTTTAATATTAGTATGTATAAATCACCGCTCGCGACTGGCCAATGCTGCATCGCTTATAAAAGAAAAGAAAAGCTCGAGCGAAGCCTTACGCTCTCTTTTTTCTCTCTACATTATCTGTTGCGGCAAACGCGCGGTGCTAGGAACGAATCGCGAGGGGGTCGGTCGTGTGCAGTTGAATTTGTTTCGAGAGCTGTGCCGCTGTGAAAGTCGTTCGTGCGACGACGAGATTTCGGGCGCGCGCTAATCGAGTTACGACTCCAAGTGTAAAAGTTTGCGAGTGAGCTCGCCTATAGCTATCGTGCGAGTAGTATGAAACTTGTCTGAAAATTACGAGTCTTATTTCGAGTATATCGGGAAACAAGTGTTTTGCCGAGGCTAAGAGTTGCTATATACGCGTGCGAATATATTTGGGCGGCAAAGAGCGCCCAAACAGGAGCATAAATAGGAGTTTAAATATGCGCACGCAGAAAGGAGCTCGAAAATTACAACTGTACGCGGCCGCGGCGACGTTAATGGCCCGCTTACGAGACAAAAGGAAGAAGCCGATGAGAAGAGCTTACACGCCGTATAATGGCGAGGCGATAACGCGAGGCGGCACGAGCCCGAGCTCTCGTGTGCGGTGTGGTGCGCTACGGGCTAATACAAATTATTATCACCAGCAGCAGCGCTCGAGCGCGTCGACGCACTGGCCACTGTACGTGCTGTATCTGGTCAGTTGGTCCAGTGCGCGCCGCCTCGCGTACCAGTCCTAGTCGTTGTCTTTACGCGCGCGCGTGTGTGTACCCAAGCCCAAGGGGTCAAGGCGATCAGGTTTTATATACTTATACACACGCGTGCGGAGCGAGGGTTGCTCGTCGTTGTCTCGCGTCCGCTGTCTCTCATCTCTCTGTTGTTTTTTTTGTTCTCTCTTTTTTTTTCACGGCCCTCGCGGAAAAACTATTGTAGAGTCGAACCGTGTAGACCCCAGTCCGTCTGCAGCCAGCCAGCCAACCAACCACCAGCGCTTAATCTATTAAAGAGCCGTTAATTCAACAAGCTGCCTAGCCCCCTATATACTCTACTCTAGTCGCTGCCGCCGAGCAGCTTCAAGGGGCTAAAGCTCGGTCGCTCGCGCGCGCAACATGCAGATTATCCCCGCGTGCGCATTACATAATAACCACCAACCACCACCACCACCACCAGTAGTAGCAGCGGAGCTCTTGTTTAACGAGCAGCCATGAATATTCATAAATCCGCAGGCAGCAGAAGCTACTCCACATTTTATATATTCTACATATTATATATATCTATTGCTGCTGTGCACGCCGGATAATAAACAAGCTCGGATCGTAACCCAAGCGCAGCAGCAGCAGCGGCATGATATAGATAAAAATGTATAGAAGAGCCGAGCTGAACAGTTCGGCTGTTATACGATTAGACCGCCCAGACCGTGTCCGATGTTTCTTACGCGTTTCTTTTACGCACCCTCGTAAATACATCGATGCAGCGTACAACTCCTGTCGATACACACACACACACACATATAGTCTATAGCCTGCAGAGATACGCGACTAGACTCACTGATTTCCATCTGTACTCTTCTTTTTTCCTTTTTGTCTCCTTTTTTTCGTCGCTTCGTCTAGCTGCTTACTACCACTGATACTGCGCTGCGACCTGATGAAGATATCTTCTTATTCTAGCCTCTGCGCGATCGAGAGAAAATTTCGGAACGCTTGATGGTCCAATCGGCCTCTCTCTCTCTCTCTCTCTCTCCTATAGACTTTCTTGGCTGCTGCGACAACGACGACGAGCGGCTCAGCGCGTTTATGAGCCTGCGTGCCACTACTGCCACGGTGTATTAGCTTCGATTATCCTTAGGCGTCTGATTTTTTCCTTTTTATCCTTCCCCCCGCCCGCACCAGGCCGCCTTCGTATATAGCATCGAGCATCGAGCTTGACGTTTTTTTATGCGACGAGCTTCCGAAACGTTTATTGCCCGTAAAATTATACGACGACGATCGACGTCCCACGCGCGAGTTCGTCTACTTACTAGCTGCTATATTATATAGTATGCCTTATTTTTTCCTCGCTACTTTTTTCTTACTTTGGCTTTGTTTGTTTGTTTTTTCTTCGCGAAATGAAAACGAGATTATTGGAAGAAAATCGAGCGCGGCTGCTGCAGTAATCGTTTAAAACCGCGAAACAGTGCGCGTAGTGCCGAACGAGCGAGCTAGAGAGAGATCAATTTGTATGGGGCCTTTAGGGAGTATAAACCTAGTTAAAAAGCCCGAGTCGACGAGTTGTGCTGTGCTAGATTGACTGCAGCAGCGTAGCTATTTTAACAGTCTTTTCAAGGGGCTGAAACGATTCGCCAAATTCGCGAGGGTCGCACGCACGCCATACAGCCCGATCGCGCCCATTCAATGTCACACAGTGTATATCGCGCGTACGATTTTCGTTCGTATTATATTATACAGTGAGAGAGAGATGATACATGCCGTAGTAACCCTCGACGCTGTAGCCCCGTGCGCGCGACATAATATGCTCCCGCGGGATGCAAAATGTGTATTTATATAGGACGACAATGTGCAAGCGATATAGATTTAAATGCTTTAAAATAGAGACGAGAGAGAGAGAGATCGGCGACGCAATTCTCCTCGCAATTTATTATGTGCTCCAATCTTAATCGCAGGTTCAGCCTTTCGAGTTTGATCCTTTGATATGTCAACTTCACCGTTTAAGATGCATAGTTTCTTACTTTTTATATTTCTTTTCTTGGCGTTTCTCATTTCTCTCTGAAAAATATAAACCATTTTAAACTGTGGCACATTATATATGCAGACCCATACATATGCGGCAGTGTGGGCTTCAATCGTTTCCTTTTTCGAGAAAATTGTATCTATAAAAGTTCAAGAAAATGATTGAGTTAAGATCCGAGAGAGATGATTTTAATGCAACCGTGAAGTGGATCAACTCGTATTGTTTGTTTATTTTTTTCGCCTAATTTAATAAAGATTAATAACCTTAGATGTGAAGCAACCTACAATTTTTAAATATTTACCTGCATTTTCTAGTTTCATTTTATTATCGTAATTACGGAGGCGTGAATACTCGGGTTTTTAGATGTTCGACACGATTTTTTCTTTTAAATTTCAAAATTCATTCAACAGGTTTCTATCTTAACTACAAAAATTAGCATGTTTCAATTGTGCTTGCAGGAAAAATTAGATAAATGATTCACTCAATAATCAAGCATACCTTCATGGGTTCAGTACAGGTGCCGCAGGACCCACACTTCTTCATAGTGGCTCGCACATCCTCTGACAGATTTATTTCATTTTCAATTTTTAACGAAGCTTTCTTGCAATATACTTTGTGATGCAATGTAACATAGATTTTATTTCATAAAAACATTAAAACTACTATATAATGGAAAATATTTTGAACTTGAAGTTATTCATAAATCATCATTTGAAAGAGACCTTGATCTCAGGACTAAAATTGCCTCAGAAAAAAATCGATATTTATGAATATGTTTTATTGAATAGACAAGCTCAATTAAGCTTGATGTAGCCGGAAAAAAGGGTCGATTCAGAAAGTCGCATTAACTCTCGGTGGATACACATAAGGAGTATCGGCTCAAGGTACCGTACATCTGTCTCTGGAAACAGAAATCTTAGGCAGCCGTGACTTATATCATATAGGCGAGTTTCCGCTTGGCTTGCGCCGTTCAATATATATAGGCATACAGACACACGTACTGCTCGAATAAGAGTTTGGAGTAAAACTACGGGCTTCACCCCTTGTCTTTTACCAATGTACTATAATAAAATTTATTAATATTTATTATATCACATTCAGCCATGATATATGACAAAGTCACGAAAATTTCTTTAAAAATTTTTGTTGGAGTTCCAACTCCAAGTTGATTTAACTTCTTGACTCAAAATAATAAAGAATTTTTTTAAATACATTACGATTTTATAGTCTACGAGGAAATTATTATTTAAAATTTCCAATAAAGTCAAAGGCATAGTTGTTCTGTAAAAAAAAATTTCTCTAGCCACGAAACTCAATTATTTAATAAAAGTCATGTAATAAAATCATTCATTCGAATGATAATACATACAATTTACAATATTAATTTACACAAGACATTAAAACATACTTCAAATATGTTATTTTTATTACGAATTTTGGTTTGTAACCGCCGCAGCGAATGTTCCATAAATCGTCGATGATTTAGTCAGGGATTGCAATAGATGGCAAAATCCTTCCCACATTATCTGGCTCAGATGCAAAAAACAACTGTTCCTGTACCTTTCGGGTAGACTATGTACCATGCTCGAGTGCATAAAATTGTAATAGTCCCGATAGTTGACTTTTTCGGTCGCCTCTTTGGGACTTGATTGAATCAGCGTGTAAAGCGACAGAGAGCTAGTTATTATATCACCCGCTATTTTCTCGAACT